TGGACGAGAACAAGACGACTCCGACCCGAGTTTGTCCATTGTCGGTATTAAATCCCCTGACAATGGCTTTTACGAAGTTGAGACATCGACGAAAGTTCCCTCTGCCATACTGCTCAATACTTCCTGAGCCATCGATGATGAACGCTATATCAACTCGGGCACGGCAACCTGGCAAAGTAAAGAAAAGAAATAGTTGGCCGACCTTCTTTGGTATTTAATAATGATACTTCTGCATGATGATATACACTATTGAAAAGTGATTTCTTACTGCTTCAAGGCTTGATGTTTAAAATACTCATGAAAATTACCTTGTGCTGGTGGCCGAACAGTGCGTGCCCCTGAAACAAAATGAAAGATGGTTTCATTACTTGCATGTGTTTTAGTTGGCAGTAGCAAAGGTGATGTCGAAGGTTGCCTTCACCAATGTATTTAACGTTCAGTTTAGCGGAAAGGATTTAATTTGAAGATATGACGCCGAACGCATTGTGGCGTAAATCATTCAATCTTCGGCTTTTGGCCAATGACATCCAGTCCTAAATATTCGCTTCGTTCAGGTGGAGTTGGATTCCTTCTTTGTTTGGGTCAAATTTCTTATATAAATAACGACACTCGGGCACAACACGCTTGCAAAGCAGAAAAAGATACATTTGGAAAACTCTGATGAAGCAAAGATACCTGGAAAAGGTCAAGGTAAGTCTGTCTTGTATTTTCTATTTCGTACTGCGCAGAAGGCTAAGCCTTCAACATATCATGTTGATGCGTGAGCTTCAGAGTATATGGAATGTATACACTTACCTCTACCAGCGCATCTCCGTTCACACTCCCTTCTGGTCCGGAAATTATTCGCGTTTCCACGACAACCGCCATAAATAAATCTCTCGCAGATCCCTTTTGCCCGGTTAAAATACCACCTCTGAATGGCTGCTCGACAAGGACCAGTGGCTTTGGGAAGGTTACAAATAGAGCGCCCTCCTGTTGGAAAAGAACAAAGAAGAAACGCACAAACGTTTAAAGCCATTTTCGGCGCAAGATCTGTTTTTGGCGGTAAGAGCTCGATCAAACCAGCAAAATAAAAATACTGCAAGTTTTGTTTCCAAGATTGACTTTGTTAATGTCCACTCATCACCAAATTCTGATATAATACCATCATAATCACAACTTTTTTACCTTGTCTTGGTCGAACAGGGCGTGTTCCTAAAAAAAGAATAAAGATGCGACTGACATAAGGGCGCGATTATGTATTCAATAAGAAACGTTACAATGGGTTATTTTGTAAAACTTGTACGAGTCAGTAACTGATACGTCACCCGTGCTCCTAGCAGTCTGTAAATATAAATAGATTCTGTGAGGGACACAGAAGATTCCTCGCTATCACAATAAGGCATATTCAATGTAATAATAAAGTCATCGTTTTCTTTAGAGTTCGTCAATGGATATGTTTTCCTGGATAAATCTTAAAAAATCTTCCACTGCCTAAGCTTCATCGTGTGTTATTTACGCTGTCATTTATACACATGTTACGACGGTCAGTTTAGCTGTACCTTTACATGCTCGTCGTCCAATAGTTCCTGCGATGGATCGTAGGTTCCTAAATCCTGCCGTCAACACGTGGCGCCTGTCGTCGCCTGCAATCTGTAACAGCTGTCTTCTGTTAAATTTACGTCCAATTCCCACCGCATAACATTTGATGTTCTTTCCACGAAATAAACGAGCAGGACCAACAACGCTGTCATACGAACGACCATCAGTCATAACTATAACAACCTAAAAAGTAAAGTCACAATGTGTTTAAATACTTTTACGATTCTGGCATGGGGCACTTTGACTTGCCGGGTGAACAGATTTATCTACACAATTTTCCAAAAACAAAGGTAATAATAAAGGTCCAAAGAAATACCTTTCGAACTCCTCTTCTTGCATATCTGAACACACGATAGTAAGTATAACGCATGGCATATCCGGTTTTAGTTCCTCCCCTGGGGTAGCGTATGCGGCTGATTGCTGTAAGAAGTTGATTCTTTCGACGATATCGTCTAAAGCCGAAGATCAGCCGAGGCCTGAACGAGAACAAGACGACTCCGACCCGAGTTTGTCCATTGTCGGTATTAAATCCCCTGACAATGGCTTTTACGAAGTTGAGACATCGACGAAAGTTCCCTCTGCCATACTGCTCAATACTTCCTGAGCCATCGATGATAAACGCTATATCAACCCGGGCACGGCAACCTGGTAAAGTAAAGAAAAGAAATAGTTGGCCGACCTTCTTTGGTATTTAATAATGATACTTCTGCATGATGATATGCACTTTTGAAAAGTGACTTCTTATTGGGACGAGGCTGAAAATGTTTAAGTCTCTTGAACATTACCTTGTGCTGGTGGACGAACAGGGCGAACGGGGCGTGCTCCTAAAATAAAGTAAAAATACTATTATAATGTGTCTTTTGGGACACTAATATGTATGGTAGATGTCGGTAGTTGATTTCCCAGAATTTATCTGTAGAGCCCAAAAGTCACACAAAGGACGTTTCAAATCCTTAGGCTAAACAAATCGCTTTTTTCTAGATTAAATGTTCTCCAAGGTCATCTAACAAATGTCAATTCACTTTGACTTCTATTGAATAAAATTAAGTGTTATAATAATAATAATAATAATAATAACAATTTATTACATTTAATATAGCGCTTTAACTATTAAAATATTCTAAAGCGCTTTACAATAAGTACAAGAAAATAAATATATATATAAAATAAATGGACAGAAATAATAATAGTAATAAGAATATAAAATTACAAATTAAAAGCTTTCTTAAAAAGATAAGTCTTCAACTGTACTTTAAAAGAGTCAATGTTCCTACAGTTTCTAAGGCTAGATGGCAAAGCATTCCATACTGTTGGTCCAGCATGGAAAAAGGCTCGATCGCCAAAAGTCTTCCGTGTCATCTTAGGAATTACAAGCAATGTTTCAGAATCAGACCTCAGGCTGTATCTAGTTCTAGGCTTTACAACAAGTAGTTCAGATATATATTGTGGCGCCAGGCCGTTCAACGTTTTAAAAACTAAAAGCGCAATCTTAAATTCTACCCTAAAATTCACTGGCAACCAATGAAGTTGCCTAAGTACCGGAGTAATATGGGCAAACTTAGGAATTAAGCCTGTAACCCCAGCCACCGCATTAAGAACTTTTTGAAGTCGGTCATATTGATATTGCGGAAGCTTATACAATAGAGCGTTGCAATAATCTAAATGAGATGTAACAAACGCATGAATTAAACACTTTGTTGATTCAGCAGACAGATATTTCCTAATTTGCCTAATATTATAAAGCCCCCTAAATGCCTTACTACACACCTTTCCTATATGAGTATTCATAGACATATGGTTATCAAACCATGTGCCAAGATTTCTAACATGCTTAAGGGGTTGAATGTCACAGTCACCAACTTTAATTGAAGCCATGGTAACCTTCGATAACTGCTGCGACGAACCGATGATTAGAAATTCTGTCTTTGAATCATTAAACATCAGCCTGTGTGAGACTACCCAAGCCCTAACATCAGCTATGCAGTTCTCAATAACCTTAATCGCTTGATCTTGAGCACCAAAGGAATCTGGACGAAACGACACGTACAACTGAGTATCATCAGCGTACCCATGAACTGATGGAAGGTGCTTCTTAACAACCTCAAACAGCCTTGATGCAGATAATAAAAAAAGGAAAGATCCCAAACAGTTCCCCTGAGGAACACAATAATTTAAATTGAAAGTCTTGGAGGACTGCTGATTAACAATTACACGTTGTACCCTTCCAGCCAAATATAATCTAAACCACTTCAGAACATCATCGCAAATTCCAAAATCTGATTCCAGGATGTTAATCAGGATGTTATGATCGACAGTGTCGAAAGCGGCACTAAGATCTAAAAGAACAAGAAGAGTTACTTCCTGATTGTCCATGTTGGAGAGTATATCACTCTGGACTTTAAGAAGAGCCGTCTCAGTTGAATAAAACTGACGATAGGATGACTGATGAACTGGAAGAGGAGCACTATCAGAGCAATGCCGGAAAAGTTGACCCACAACTGCCTTCTCAGCTGATTTGGAGACCATAGGCAGATTACTAACCGGCCTGAAGTTCTTACATACTAATTCGTTGTTGGCAACTCCCTCCACGGAAAAGTTTTCACTTTTTTTTACTCTAAGTCATCTTTAACAGTTTAGAAAAGGAACAACTTTTAGTAGACACCTTTGTGTCCTTAATTTAATACTCTATATACTCTGCACCAAATATATTCAAAGTCCTACTGAACGAAAACGTTAAATTAAACACACAGCGTAATTTTGTCTTTAAAGAGAACAAAGCACACCAAACTTAACAATTACATGATCATTTGATGCCCAGGGTCAACTTGGTCTTCTTTCCAAAATACCGTACAAAGAGATGTCTGTAAAATTGAACTTGACAGAGGGGCAGGAAAATCATTAGCTAATGTAAAAAAAATGGTAGTATGGAAAAGGGGCTTTATATCTGCAACCTTTATTAGTAAATAAATTTGCCTAATTTTAATTTATACGTGTTTTCCCAAGTATGAGCAAGTGAAAACAGATAATTAAATTTAAAATTTCGAAAAATTGATAGCTTTCTATTACTGATGTTTGTACCTTTACATGCTCGCCGTCCAATAGTTCCTGCGATGGATCGTAGATTCCTAAATCCTGCCGTCAACACGTGGCGCCTGTCTCCGCCTGCGATCTGTAGCAGCTGTCTTCTGTTAAATTTACGGCCAATTCCCACCGCGTAACATTTGATGTTCTTTCCACGAAATAAACGAGCAGAACCAACAACGCTATCATACGAACGACCATCAGTCATAACTATAACAACCTAAAAAGTAAAATCACAAAGTGTTTAAATACTTTTAGGATTCTGGCTTGGGGCACTTTGATTTGCCTGGTGAACAGATTCACAATTTTCCAAAAACAAAGGTAATAATAAAGGTCTGAAGAAATACCTTCCGAACTCCTCTTCTTGCATATCTGAACACACGGTAGTAAGTATAACGCATGGCATATCCGGTTTTAGTTCCTCCCCTGGGGTAGCGCATGCGGCTGATTGCTGTAAGAAGTTGATTCTTTCGACGATATCGTCTAAAGCCGAAGATCAGCCGAGGCCTGGACGAGAACAAGACGACTCCGACCCGAGTTTGTCCATTGTCGGTATTAAATCCCCTGACAATGGCTTTTACGAAGTTGAGACATCGACGGAAGTTCCCTCTGCCATACTGCTCAATACTTCCTGAACCATCGATAATGAACGCTATATCAACCGGGGCACGGCAAGCTGGGTAATGAAACGAAATCAATTCATTAGTATAACGGTGAAAAGAAGGCAAGACAGAATAAAGATAACTTTCCCTTTCTACTATATGCTGTCTGGGGACTGGACACAGCAGTAGGTAGGATACCTTGGTCTTTTCCAATTGTCTTTAATTTTATCTTCAGTGTAAGTTTACCAGAGGTGGTATGTGATGCTTATCGAATTAACATTAGGCAAGTCATGAAGTCATGCAGGTAAAGATCGACTGACGAGTTTTTTTTTTATGAACATCTTCTTTGGAAAATTGATACAGCCCCTTTAACGATCATTTTCGTTTTAGGTTTTCCAGTGAACGATTAGGTCGAAATTACAAAACGGCCGGGCATCAGCATCAGCATTGTCCTCAGTGGCGGGAATAGTTGCACCGGCTTATCCCCATGGCCTAATTACAAGAGAACGTCTCCAAGCAGAAGAAAAACAGAGGGCTGACCTATTAGTCACCATCCTGGGTAGTAACTGCACTGCGGCCGACTGACCCCCACTGGTCATTACATACCATCCTAAGAACATCGCCGTCTTTAATATCCTACTGCGAAATTATACCATTCTACGGGATGACGAAAGCACCAAGGTCACATTTCACAGACTGCCGCTTAAAGCCTTCTGTCGCACTAAAAACCAAAAAGATCTTCTCGTTCATAGCTCCTTACCGCAGGTTCTCCAACGTCAGATTGGCAATTCTCCTTGTCACAGACGTGACTGCCGGACCTGTTCTTTCATTAACTCCTCTGACCGCATTACCACTACACAGGGGCAGATCAAAATCTAAGGGTTTTTTACGTGTATCACCAGCCAGCTGATCTTTTGAATTTCGTGCCGCAGATGCCCTGGGGTCGTTTACATAGGAGAGACGGGCCGTAGACTTGGCGACCGTTTTCGGGAGCACCGTTTGGACGTCATTAAGAAGAAAGTGGCCCCCCGGTGCCTGCCCATTTTGCGGGAGTGGACCACCAGCTGGAGGACATGCAAGTAGCCGTGATTAGTGCTGGTCCACCGGAGCAAGACAAAAGAAGACGCCAGGAAATGCGCTTTATTCATAATTTTGGCACCCTCGCGCCGCGTGGACTCAGTCAAGATTTCTCCTTCACGTGACTTGCGCGCGCGCACACTCGCTTGTTTTTACGCGCGCATTTTCAAATTTTCAAATTTTCGCTATAACGAACTCACATATTTTCCCTGATGAAGGCAGCATTGCCGAAACGTCGGAGTTTTATTTGCGATTNGGCCTGGACGAGAACAAGACGACTCCGACCCGAGTTTGTCCATTGTCGGTATTAAATCCCCTGACAATGGCTTTTACGAAGTTGAGACATCGACGGAAGTTCCCTCTGCCATACTGCTCAATACTTCCTGAACCATCGATAATGAACGCTATATCAACCGGGGCACGGCAAGCTGGGTAATGAAACGAAATCAATTCATTAGTATAACGGTGAAAAGAAGGCAAGACAGAATAAAGATAACTTTCCCTTTCTACTATATGCTGTCTGGGGACTGGACACAGCAGTAGGTAGGATACCTTGGTCTTTTCCAATTGTCTTTAATTTTATCTTCAGTGTAAGTTTACCAGAGGTGGTATGTGATGCTTATCGAATTAACATTAGGCAAGTCATGAAGTCATGCAGGTAAAGATCGACTGACGAGTTTTTTTTTTATGAACATCTTCTTTGGAAAATTGATACAGCCCCTTTAACGATCATTTTCGTTTTAGGTTTTCCAGTGAACGATTAGGTCGAAATTACAAAACGGCCGGGCATCAGCATCAGCATTGTCCTCAGTGGCGGGAATAGTTGCACCGGCTTATCCCCATGGCCTAATTACAAGAGAACGTCTCCAAGCAGAAGAAAAACAGAGGGCTGACCTATTAGTCACCATCCTGGGTAGTAACTGCACTGCGGCCGACTGACCCCCACTGGTCATTACATACCATCCTAAGAACATCGCCGTCTTTAATATCCTACTGCGAAATTATACCATTCTACGGGATGACGAAAGCACCAAGGTCACATTTCACAGACTGCCGCTTAAAGCCTTCTGTCGCACTAAAAACCAAAAAGATCTTCTCGTTCATAGCTCCTTACCGCAGGTTCTCCAACGTCAGATTGGCAATTCTCCTTGTCACAGACGTGACTGCCGGACCTGTTCTTTCATTAACTCCTCTGACCGCATTACCACTACACAGGGGCAGATCAAAATCTAAGGGTTTTTTACGTGTATCACCAGCCAGCTGATCTTTTGAATTTCGTGCCGCAGATGCCCTGGGGTCGTTTACATAGGAGAGACGGGCCGTAGACTTGGCGACCGTTTTCGGGAGCACCGTTTGGACGTCATTAAGAAGAAAGTGGCCCCCCGGTGCCTGCCCATTTTGCGGGAGTGGACCACCAGCTGGAGGACATGCAAGTAGCCGTGATTAGTGCTGGTCCACCGGAGCAAGACAAAAGAAGACGCCAGGAAATGCGCTTTATTCATAATTTTGGCACCCTCGCGCCGCGTGGACTCAGTCAAGATTTCTCCTTCACGTGACTTGCGCGCGCGCACACTCGCTTGTTTTTACGCGCGCATTTTCAAATTTTCAAATTTTCGCTATAACGAACTCACATATTTTCCCTGATGAAGGCAGCATTGCCGAAACGTCGGAGTTTTATTTGCGATTATCAGCGTTTAACTTACCACCTTCCCACTTGTAACACGCATAAACGCTACGCAGGAACCCCTTTATTTGTATCTAATAGCTGCACCGTGATTTTTTTCGTAAGGTGTAACACTCGAAACCCCAGACTTAGTGCCTTTGGCCAAACACAGTCTAAAACTAGGACCACCGACTTTTTTTGCCTGACTTTTTCTATCCAGAGTCTCATGTGGACCTTCCGTTTACAGTAAAAAAACAGCGAACATGGGATGTATTTTTCAACGGGGCAGGGAGGATCGTTCACATGTTGATGACGAGCCATGGCACTATATTACAAACAGATGAGTTTCTGTTAAATGTATTCAGACTTATTTATCATCATCATTAGTAGTGATGACAATCATATTATTATGATTGTTCAAAGATTATCATGATTTTATGATCGTAACATGAAATAGGACTGGTTAATCAGGACTCTAACAAAGCCATACCTCGTCGTTGTATTGAACGCCCTAAAAGGGAGAAATAAAGAGCTGTTTAGGCAGAAAAAAATTTAACATTCGGTTATATCTGAGGATTATCTATCTACAACCCGGCAATAATTATATACTAGAGGCGAAATGATTCGCTGCCACATTGTATTGTGACATTTCCAGGAAAATAAGGGTAAACACTTATGTGTCACCAGCAGATATTACTGCAACGTTATATTTTAAACAAAGTGTATGTTGCCAGAAATTCCAGGCTTTGATAAAGTTGAAAAGGTTCGATATAGTCTTCTAGACACCAAGCTAGGATCCTCCAAATGTGACATTCATGTGAAAGATGACATCGACAAAGGACATTCCTACCATTTTTTAGTTGAAAACCAATTTGAATAATTTAGCCGCATGTGCTAACTAAAACTTTAAATCAGAATTACTTATTATAGCTAGCAATAACTAATGCAAACTTCAATGTAATAGAGTGTTTGACTTTGACTTACCATTCACTCCCCATGTCTGATAACTGAAATGCACAGAAAATGAAAATTATCAAGAAACCATATAACTGCCCGTTCTTTTATTCAGTTATTTTGGGATGAAACGGAACCGGTTTTTCTAAACATTTTTTTCCTTTTTCCATTTTTCACGCATGTATTGACCAAGTCAATCCAATCGATTTTAAAAGGTTTTCATTCGTGTACATATGTAATATGAGACACCAACTCAGGGGTGTACGCCAATATGCAGGCGCGTAACTGAAAAATATAATTTCGAAGATAAAAACAACAACAACAACAACAACAACAAAATGAAAAAAAAAGAAGAAAAAAGAAGTAAAGAAACAGGAGAAAAATAAGGATAACTAAAAAGAAATGCATTTACTCTATGTTATTTCCCTTTAAGATAATAATGCGACCTTTTTCCTGATTTTGCCACAAATAAAAGCTGTAACAGCTACCTAACGAGCACGGTGTTAAGACCAAAAGTCACCCGAAAGAAAATGATATCAGAGACGCCGGCTAGTGTTTGTTCTTGAGAAACTGTGCATCCTTCAGGCAAAAGTTCTAGATAAGCCCCTTAAACTTTTTGTCTCTCGTTTTCTTTTCCCTTTTAATCGTTCGTGCCCAAAGAAAATTTTCGTTAAACCCAAGCCTGGGTAGTGGCACGTCATCAATATAGAATTTCTTCGTTCGTTTCACAGACGTCATTTCGCGGGGAAACCAGTAGTGACGTTACGAAATGTCGACTGTTTTCTCAGGTTACCAGTTCTAAACTTCTGTTGTGTTTCCAAATTCTGTTAATGCAAAAAAAATTGCCTAAAAAATACACTAGCTGAATGTTTAGGTGACATGTGAAAAAGAAACAATTTTCCATTGTTTCCGTGTTTGCCTTGTTCTACATATTTATCTAAAGAGTTTGACGGCCCTTTGTAATTAATTTTGCTAGGTCACATACATCTTTCCCATTTTCCGACTATATTTGCAAACATACCAAGATTCAACCTGTTCTTTA